CCTGGAGTATGAAAAGTACTATATTAGCTCCAAATTCTGTTCCAAATGGACCCTTCCATCATTTGGTAAAATGTAGGTAGCTCAGATTCTCTCTCTTTTGCCAAAATTAGTATACATTCTATCAACTTTTATCATAAAATTCTGTTGCATCCGTACAAATAGTGAAAATATCTAAGTTTCAAACATTAATGGCATTTCTAAACCAGTTTCTCAAAACATATCAAAGGTACTTTTTCTCATTGGGGACTGAATCCAGGAAATTATAAAGTTATAAAGAAGCTGTTTGAATTACTCTAAATTATATATGCAGCAGTGAAATAGTTTTTCCCATTATGAGATCAAACAGAATTTTACTCAAATGTAAAGAATCCCACACCCTTTTGTGAGACAGAATGAGAGATTATTGGAGGCGCAGTGTGAACCTGAGCTGAATTCATGGCAAGTAGACAATACCCATTCTTGTGCAGTTCAAAGGGGGTTATGTCATGATCCAACGTTGTAGCATTCAGCTATCACTGTACTTTCGAAGTTGGCAAAGCTACATAAGGAGAAAAAACATCTATGTAAGAGGTCCTGGTCTCTAGCCTCAGCAAGGACACAATGTCACTTCCTTTCCTCCACCCAAAGGAAAATGCACAAACTGGAACAATTGAAGGATGGCCGATAGCTTTGTATTCAGTAATACGCACTATGCACAATGACACTACAGGTTACATAGAGTCATGGAGTTTAAAGCCAGAAGGGACCATCCGATCATCTAATCTGACCTCCTGTATATCACAAGTAGCCAGCAACAATTTACAATGCTAAGGAACTAGAACAAGTGGGTTCAGCTGTATATTTTAGCCTATTTCAAATGTAGGCAGTTTTCCAGAAAGGATGATATTTTAAATCTTGCACACTCAAAATATCTGTATCTAGCACCATTGTTGTGTATCTCCCCTAATAATGCAAAACAAAAAACACCCCACACCAAAACAAAACCACAACAAAGCCCATGCTTCATAAGCCTCGAAGAACTGGTAGCTTTCTTGAACCATCCACACTTATGCTCTAGGAAGCATATTTTCCAATTCCGTTAATACCTTGTATAGATAAGACTCAGTCAATACATGAAGGAAGTACCCATTTAGAATACTCAAAAGAATGGACAACTGTTCAAATCAGTTGAAGCGTTTTTGAAAATGTAACTAGTTTAATCAACTGGTTGATTAAAGGAATTTTAAGAGATTTTTTACTGACTGTAGGTAGGGTTTTGCAATAGGGCAGCCCTGCCTTGCACGCCCCCATGTCAGACCCTGCCATGACAGGTGCACCTGCCTTAGTTTCCCCTTGGTCCAGCCATAAAAGGAGCAGTCTCTCTCCATATCCAATTCTAAAGCTTGCCTCTAGGCATGATTTATTTATTCCTCTGCCTGCTCAATAGTCCACAGAACCCTCGTGATAAAACCATTCTCCCAAAATTCCGAGTAAAAAAGGCTCCAAATGGACCCTTTTCCATTCTCCCACCTGCAATGTCATTTCCAGCTCATATTTGGAGTCATTAACCCGGCTTTTCCCCAGATTCTTTCTGCCCTTGTCCCAGGCCTCCACTCTCCAGGACATTGCTGGAGAGCTCCCACAGTCGCTTTGTTCCTGTGACACTTTTTCAATAGCCCCAAGTCAGGTTTCCCACAAGAGAGCTCCCCACAATTTACCACTTACCCAGGCCTCCCTGCCTGTGATTCCTTCCCGTTTTGGGAAGGACCTCTTGTTCTGGGCTCCCATTCCCACAGTCCTCCACTCAGGCCTGCTGCAAGGAGACTTCCTGCCGTGTTCCACTCATTCAGGCCTTCCTGCTTGTTTTGTCCTATGCAGCTCCTAGGATTCACCCTCCAGCTCCCCTGTCTTGTTTCAGGCTTGACAGTTTCTAAGCAGGCAGGGTCAGTTTAATTATGAGGGGATAAGAAGCTGGACACTTTCTGTTGGCATCCTCAGATAATTAATTTGTTTTCCTTAACAGTTTGCCAAAACCTAAACATCAGCTGACCCCCAGACCATGCTGTAGGTCCTATTTAATCTCCTAAGATTTTCCTGTGAAGGATGTTTGATTTGATGGGAGTTCTATTAGGAGAGATAGGGGTTTGATGAGTGTCAGATTATAATCTACATCTACACATCCAAACATGGCATTCTAATCAACTATTAAAATAACCTCTAAATACTTCTCCCATAGAACCCATAAGCGATGACTGATGGGAGAGACTGAATGATGTTTGGGGTCAAACTCCTATAAATCCCTAAGAAGCTCAGGTACTGCCAGGGCATATTCTCAAAAGAGAAGCCAGGGACTATCTAGGCACTGGTATAGCCCCATTACCATAGCATAGGAGTGCCTTAGATATGTTAATTGAATTTATGCTGACAGCACACCATGAGATCTCATTTTATAGAAGAGAAACTGAGATACTGAAAGAGTGACTTACCCAAATTACAAAGGCAGGAGCTGAACCCAGATCACCTGAGTTCTAAATGAATTCCTTTAAATCACAATATCTTCCTCTCCAGTTGTATGGTCAAAACTTTCTCTTTGCTCAAACAAATTTTCTGCTGGAACTCCTGCACCCCAGAAGAGATGGTGGAGGGTGTCCTAGCAGCACCTATGGAGGTCTAGGGAATGAGTTTAGCAGTTAATGGCATTAATGCTGCAGAGTCCTTCATTACTAGGAGATGCAGCATACTTTCCAAGGTCCTTGTACATACATGCTACCTTAGATTTATACTTTCTGCAAAGTCTATGATGGCATAAGTCCTCAAATGGAGAAGCCTGAGTTGCATTTCACAGAACTCTATCATACCCGTTACTGACTAAAAGTTGAGACTTTGTGTAATGTATATATTAAAAAGTGACTCCAAATATCTCTGCACTTAATCATTGGAGTGAACTCCTTCAAAGGTGTTTTCAGCTGCTGTCTAAATTAATGTTTACTGTTTAAAAACTTTTCTGATTAAAGAGGAATCACAAAAGCTCCTCCTGACCAAAGAAGAAATACAAAAGAAAGTGTCTGCGTTTATTGTGCTTCCCTGAAATTCATGCCTGCTGTGTCAGGCTGGCCAAGTTTACTAAATAAAATAAAGAGGCATCATCCAATCTGTTTAGATCCCCAAATTATCTTCCTTCAAAAAGAAGGCAATTCCTCTGCAGAATCTTTTGAAAATAAGTTTGTTATGCTTTTAGGTTCTGAAAGTGCCATTAAGCACTCTCCAAAGTTGTGAGCAAGAGGTTTGAGACCCATTGACCAGAGACATATCCTAACTTCTTATCTTTAGAAAATACATTTTTATGAAGAAAAAGCAAATATTTAGCTTGACATTATAACTCAAATATGTATTCACATAGCGTACCACGATTCCCATGACCACAAATGGCACAAAGTTAAAAAGTAATTCAACAAAACCATTGAAACTTTTATTGTGATACCTCAGATACAATATAGTGAAACAACAAATGATATACAGTATTGCTAGGACAAAACAGCAAAGCAGCCATGTCATCTGTAAAAGAAAGCATTTTAAAGTGTTTAAGAAACAATATGAGGCACAACTCAGTTGCCATTTATGACTCATGCTTTAGGCCTTAAATGATTTGTAACAGTCCTTTTCAAAATTACCTCTGAAATTCCTGTTCCTTTACAATAGATACTGCGGGTTGGCTTACACGAGTGCTAAATGAAGTACAGTACAATATCCTACAAGTTTAACAATAATTTGATGGCTTCCTTCCACTCTTGTCCCATTATCATACAACTGGGATGTTAAAATTTGTCTCTCTTTGTGGCACTCTGGTATCTCAATCTAGATACAGGTCTTGCAATTTGACTATATGATCCTCATATCTGAAAAAAAATCTGAGAGAGCAATATATAAAGGAAAAATTTCAAGTCCATTGGAAATGGTACCGAGCACCCTACGTTAGCACAAATGTAGTTTACATTAGGGAGCAATATGGATGTATTACTATTTCCATAATCAAAGGGTTAATTGCTTCTGTTTGTTACTTTGAGATATCGTTCACTTGAAATCAAATTAATTTCAAATCAAGTCTTCCACAAGCTGCTATAAGATTAGATGCATGAAAATTAAGCCAGTTACAGAGAGGCTGCTGATTATTTTTAAACTTGCCAAATATTTAGTTTGCAGTAGGGCATCAGGACTTTATTTGTACTCTGTTACATTAGTACTGTTACAATTCAACCTACATCACTATATAGTTTATAGATAATTAAAAAGTTCACATATTCCAGCCCCTTTTAGCAACAGGCAGAAACTAGTCAGAAGAGGTTATGGATGGTTAAGAGGGTAATAAAGTACTGTATATTAAAATGGCAACACAAAGAAAGAAATAAAATCCAAAACAGCAAAAGTGGTAAGGCTGATGTATCAGCAAGCCCTCCCTAATTCTGTCAGACAGTTTACAGGAAATTTTGCAACTTAACATTTTGTAAATGACAGTATTGCCTTTCATTGGTTAAAAAGATGTCCATAGTTATAAACCAAGGAAAGAATATTGGCATTTGAAGTAGACTCTCAATATTGTAACACCAGTGTTACAGCCCCTATTTAGGGCCTAGACAATGAAGAATGTGTCACCAGATTCCAAAATCATGTCAAATTATGATGCTTAATTATTTTAGGACAGCCATAGCTTTTATGGGTTCAAAAGAAAATCCTTTCAATACATGTATATTTTTCGCTAGCATATTCTTATGTATCCCAATGAACAGTCTTTCCAAGAAGCCAGCTCGTAGTTGGTTCATTTGGTCCAAGAAAGAGCTAGCCTGAAACAAGATTTCACAATAGCTTTTTGTTACAGTTTATAAAAAAAAAATACAAAATAAATGTTAAGACCAACAATAAAAATAACCAGTACAAGTAACAAAAGTGCTCAAGTGGGAGAGGAAGTAAACTTGCCCAGAATGAACACACAAAACCTTTAAATATAATCTTAATATATTACAAAAAAAAAAAAAAAAAAGTTAGAGGGAAAATGCTTTGTAGAATTCTCTTCAAGTAAGTTTTTCTTTTTAATGTACTGCTGGAAGGTTCAGTGACCAGACTGACCTCTTCACATCAACCAGTAGCCACTAATATCTGGAACCAACTTTCACCAAAACCATTAGGCGTAACTCTCCACATCTTTACAATGGGAGAATTGTTTCAAAGAATCACTGCTCAAGTCAAGCAATAAGAAAAAAAGGTTCACATACTCCCAGATATCATAGCAAGCATAAAGAATTATTACATAGTAGTGTGGAGTAGGAATTTTGTATTAGTTATAGCTCCTTCTCTACTCCCTCTTACCCCCCCTCAAAAGACTAATAAGAATATTGCTTTATTTGGTTCTCTTAAAAGCCATAACATTATACATAACTCACATTAACTCCTTATGCCAGTAGTTGAAGTTTTAGGTGCTAAGCACTTAATGAAATCCCAACCTTTGGCATCAAGGGTAATTAAGGTTTTGGTGAAAATATCCAGTTTGAAATACAAATAAATAATGCACTGAAAAAAGAGGTTGAGCATCTAAATAAGAATATCTTTTCTAGTTTAAAAAAGAAAAAGCGCTCATTAATAGGAAACATCCAAATCCACTATTTAAAATATTACTAGAGATTGTTCTCTCTCATAAAAAGAAAAAATTAACCTTAAATTTGTACTCTCATTTTTATAGTGAAGGATCGTGGTGTTTTTTTCTTCAACTCAGTGTAATTCTTCTTGAGTCTGTAGCCAGACAAAGAAAATATAAATTTCCTATAGACATCTTCATGGGTGTTACATTTAGGCTTTGAAGCCAACACAAACTCCTTGTTGATAGCTGTTTCGGTGCTTTCATTGTTGGCAATGGACATTATATTAGAGGAAAACTGAAAAATAGCCCAAACAAAACAGAATTCCAGGTTTTTTCAGACTGAACAGATGGCAGCACCAGATGACCATCTCGTGCCAATGACATTCAGATAAAGGGGACTCCTGGGTTCAATCTAATTCTTGATTATGGAGGAGCAGTATAAGCCACCCCACAAAATCCATACTGGACCCAGTTGTACTAGACCAGTTCTTTGGACTTAAACCCAAGGGTTTTTACTATTTCTACTTTTTAAAATTTAAGTTCTGTAGGTTCATTATCACAGCTCCTGATGTAGAGCTTCTGTATTGCTCCTAGTCATTGGCATGCTTGTAAATGAATGATGTCTGGTAATAAAGTGCAGTAGAGTTTTGAAAACCTGTCAGAGATTTATCCAAAATGTAACAGCAGCAGCAATGGCACACATTGCAACCTTCACAAATGCCATGTTAAAATAGTTACTAAAAGGACACTAACTTCTATTCTATTGTAAGGCTTTCATATTGTTCATTCCATCATAGTACTTACGTAGTGTTAATGTAAAAGACGTTGCCAACCACTTTGTCCTCAAGCATTAAGGGAGCTAAGTTCAAAAGGTCCTCCACAAATACTTTTCATTTGATAACAAAGATAGCAACTAATACAAGACACAAGATTAATTTTTTTTAAAACCTCTCTGGAAAGTGCATGCACAAAACCCAATAGTAAATTTTGTGGATACACCTCCACAGAAGGCTTTCTTACTAAGTCACTCCAATTAAGAAGCAGCTGGAAAAAAAAGCAAAAAACAGAAAGGATGTGAGCTTTATATAAATTTTATTATGAAAATGTCTTTGGGGATGATTTATCCAGCAAACCAACAAACCCCTTTTTATTTTAAAAATTATCTTGCTATTCTATTTTATGAAGAAATGAAGTCAACTTCACACTTTCCTGCCCATCCACCAACCCCCACTCTTCTGCAGGTACTGTTACTAACTTCCATCTCATAAGCTCTGGCCTGTTGTCACACAAAAATAACTATATTTTTGTTAAAGTGTAGCAAAAGCAGAATACTTCAATGAATTTTCTTTATAACAACCTCTTTGTCCAGTGCATTAGACTACACAGCTACATGGAACCAGCCATAAAACTTCACTGAGGCACAAGTCCCTGTTACTGTTAAAAGGTACAGTACCAAAAACTTGTTTACACTGACTAATTTTTTATAAATACAAGATGCATATATTTTTGTGCCCTTTGATCTTGCAGGCTGTAATTTTATCAACTTCTCCCTTCAAGACACAAGTTTGCTGGATAAGGAATGCAATTATGTTGATTAAATATATTCTACAGTATCACTGCCTTAGTATTCTTGAAAATTAGTTGCACTAAAAATACTGAATCATTAATGTATTCTTTTTTGCAAAACTTAAGATCTACTAATATGAGTCAGTGGAACCAAAAGATTTCTAAATGAGCACTGTTCCTTTAACTTACTTGCCTGCAAGATGTACACAGATTATGGTACTCCCAAATTTTAAAAAGCAATTAATGAATACTCTAAATACTGCATCCCTTTCACTGCCAGAGATATCAGAAATTGCTACATATAAAAAGACACCCCCAGCCCATACATTCTTCAGGACTACTCATATCAGTCTTCTGCTAGATTTGGTGTAGGTGTTTAGGCAAGAAGCATGCACAGCAAAAGGTAGCATTAAAGGCATAGGTCAAATAAAAATGCTAACCAGTAAAATTCATTTGCAGTTAGTGAACTGTTTCTCTAGAACTTGAGAGTTTAGAAAAAGGTCATCCAAAATGTTCCAAAACAACTGTTCACACAAGAATACATATACAAAAGAGGGAACTTACACAAGGAGAAAAAGGCAAACATGGCCTGAAAGAGCCACATAAACTACACTACTCATTTGTGAGGTTGCAAAGTTCAGTGATATTCTCAGAGCTACCTCAGCCAAAATCCTCCTTTCATTTGCATTAGTCTTTATAAAGCATGTTCCACAGAATATTGTCCAAACAGAGTGAAAAAATGCTTTTAATTTACTCCCAGCCATTGTCTTTGATCATATGAGCAAGTTCAATGATAAATTTTCCTTCTTTGTATTTCTGACTGCTCTCAAAAGCATGTTCCTAGAAACAAGAAAATAAAAATATTTAAAATAGTTAGAGTTAGTTTTTCCACATTATTTCATTACCAATTTTGACATACAAATAAAAATGAATAGATAATTAACATTTGTAACATTTATTAAGGCTTTCTGGGATATTTTATTTGTATGGATGTTTTCTCTTTCCTTATTGAAATATCTAATTTTTAGCACATATGGTGTCCTTTACATAAAATCCACACTAAAATGTTAATATAAAATTGCACATGCCTATGTATAAAATGATAATTCAACATTTATAGTACATACATATATCTATTTACCTAGATATTACTATGACCCCCATCAGTATAATAGCTTGAGCAGCTCTCAAGGTACATTAGACATTTAACATGACTGTCATTTCTATGGAATGCCAGAATTATCATGTTCGTACTTTATTTCAGAGCCAAGATTGTGTGTGTGTCTGTTCTTTTACATATTGTCAACTACAGGTCTGCTAAGGCCAATCTTTCCTCAAACTAGCCCTGGGATTGCTGGATTCAGACTGTGATTTTTGCCATTTTTTTTTTATTTTGTTAAGCCACAGCTTAATTGTAGGTGATTTCCTAGCAACAACTTAAAATTTTGGACAGGTGTTGTTTTTCATTACTTGAAAGAGTGTGGATGGAGTGTGTTTATCAGAATATCATAGGTTCTGAGTTCCAAACCAGTCTTACATGGTAAGAGAAGGGATGACAGAAACCAAAGTTAGTATATGGAAATGGAACCTTCTAATGTAGCTGTTCGGTTTCCTTCATTCCATGACTGGACAAAGAAAATAGTCCTTTTACAATCTCAGCTCTGGATGTTTATTATTACTATGAGAGGGAACACATGCAGCTGTTTTCCAGAAGATTCTGAAATTCAGCTAAATCGAGTACATCCTACAAGTGGAAATATACAAAGGTCACCTCAAAGAAGAATTTAACATTTTCACAGTGTGAAAACTGTAGCATGTTAGCAGTCTGGATTACTTTTCAGCCACAAAATTGAGTTAATTATTGTGATTATTTGTAGCACAGTGTACAATATACTCGCCATTTAACAACATAGTTCATGCTTTGACTACATCACTGTGTTTTCTTAAAATGACAGATAATTAAAGAAGAAAATAAAGAAATCTGAAAACTTGACATCCAAAGTTTTAATACCAAAATGTGTGTGGCACTTAAATTCCAAGGTAATAGGCACTATAGAAAAAATCCCCACACTACTATAATGGGACCTACATCTTACATTGGCTTTATTATTCTCAAAATGTGAGACGCTGAACCTGCTATATCATTAAAGTAATAATAGTTTTGCTTCTATTGCACACGCTAGTTATACATGCAATATTTTTTTTCCTGCTGGATGTGGATGCAATGGATTCAGAGTCACTCATTATAACAATAACGAATGGTGCCTCAGTAGATTAAAGACAAGTTCTGTGGACTGCTACCTATACGAATGTTTGATCAAGAAAGAAATTATTATATACATTACTTACATATTTCCATCCAAGAGTGGTTTTACAGTTTTCACAATAGATATCTGCTACAGCATGTAAACCTGTCAAAAGAACTCTCTCCTCTGCTGGACCACAGCCCACATTTACCCTGTAACAAAGAACAGAAATAGTAGTATCTTAAGCCGCAAGACAGATCTTGCTTTTTGTTTGACAACATCCTACTTTTCTCCTGGAGATGAAATAATTCAAACAAAATCTGAGACCAAGTCTCCAAGATATATATGCCACTATTTTTAGTCAAACATTTGTGAAATTAAGTTCTAGGGTTATACCTAAAGAGGCAAGAAGAAAAAAGTGTAATCATTTTGTTTTTCATTTTCTACTGTGAAATGGTGTCATTTCTAGCATGAGTTAATTATCACTCATGTCATCAAGTAACATAAAACAAAGCACGATAAATGGGGAACTATTTAACAGTACTTAAAACAATATATTAATAAGTTACAAATGGCTTATAACTTAGGCCTTGCCTATGCTGGGAATTAGCTGCTTTCAAACAGGGGTAAGCGCCACCAGTGCCAATTACAGCTTTCCTTTTCTACACTAGGCATTTGTAACAATGCAATTACACTAATGTAGGAAAGGCTTTAGCAATATTTCTATGCTATAGACCATAGGTTAAAATACAATAATCACAGACAGTGAATATTAAAAACCAATGGAATGCCTCTTGCACATCTAGCTATGGAGTACTGCTCCAAAACGAAACTTTCCCAATCAAAAACATATGCCTAAAATACTAGTCAAATAGTCATTCTAGGAAAATCAGGCAACACTTTGTTAAACCTGTTATACTACCTAGATCTGTAGTACTCTTGACTATGCTTGGCATCTCAATTCTACATGAAGCAACTACAGATAAAAGAATAAAGATATCTGTAAAAGGTAGAGTCACATCTTTCAATCTTCACCGTAATTACCTGGTCTATAAAAATAAAACAGACACATCTGACTTGAATTCTACTTAGGAATTGCTTTGAGCAATTCAGCTAGTTAAAAATAGAGATGCAATCCAATGACAGCATATTACAAAATCTAAATTAGTTCATGATCTATAAAAGCAAGGTAACAAGCATGTATGTAGGACTGCAATGTTAAGGTGCTACAGCAAACATTGGACCCTCTTGCGATATGTCTGGCTTTTTGCTTCTGACAAATCTGCAATTTTCAAGGCCAATATTCAAGCATTCTAAAGATTAACCTGAAAAAATAACGGCTTTGCTTTGGACTATAGTGATGATGTCCAGAGTAAAGTTACAGTAATGTAATTTTCTTGAATTTCAAATCTTACCTAGTTTTCTGGAATAAAACAGTTTAGTGTCACTTGCCTCAATTCAGTTAGAATCAGATGCAGTTGAAAGTTTTATTTCTAATTAAGAGTTAAATGTGACTAATGATAGGATTTCTTAAATAACTGTAAGGAAGACTCAGACTACAAGTTGCACAATAGTAACATTCTCCTGAGAAAGGCCAGTTATCCCAGTCACACTTATCAACAGGGATTGCCAGTATAAGGCTGTAGTCCATTAAGAAAAGAATTTGAAAGAGCAGATGAAAATGTGACTGTTACTAATGTTGAGTATTTTGCCCATTTGAGGAACATACCAAAAGATGATACTGCATAGAAAGTATGTAATTGTAGTCATACTTACACAGAATTAAAGAGGTAGGCTCTTCCCTGGCTTCCCTGAAAAGACTGTAAGAAAGAGAAAAATATAATCTTTAAAATACAACAGTTTCAGAAGTGATGTGTTATAAATCATTTAAAATAATATAGTGTTGCCTTTAAAGAAATTAAGGTTTATACAGAAATTACTTTTATTGCACATGACAACTTTTAACCACATCTGTATGTAGTATGAAAATAATGGAAGATTTTGTACCAGCAAAGAACAAGGAAACAAATAAAAAAGCTATACCATAAAGGCCTCAAGTTCTATGGAGTGAGCCAAGTTACAATTTTTGTTAGAGTCCATAGACTGGCCTATGTTAGGGCCATATGCTACACTTGACCCAAAGGAAATGTCTCACTGATGTCAATGGGAATTTCCCATCAAAAGTGTAGAATATGACCCTTAAACAGAGGGTAGAAAAGCCCAGCAGAAGCATGTTTCCTTCCCCAATCATTCCGGAGTAGGGACTGTCAGAGGCTGAGCTCAGACACTGATCCAGAAAAGAAACAAGATAGTAGTATTCTGCCACTTAGCCCTTGTCTGCTCTAGAGAAATTTATCAGGCTAATCTCCATGTTATTCCCCAAGCATGGCTGTCACAGAGGAAATTCCTTCATAAAAACTATGTTAAGACTGAATGGTTAAGCACTCAAAAGTCTAAAATTATCAGAATTAAGGTTGCATGCACAACCCTTAACTTTAGGTTTGACCAGACGTCCCGATATTTAGGCGTTTGTCCCGATATTTTGCACTGCTTTTTTTTTTTTTTTTGCCAGCGGGGCCCTCCTTTTTTTTTTTTTCCTCTACCGGCGGGAATCCCCCACCCAACGTGTCCCGATATTTTCTTCATCCCATCTGGTCACCCTACTTAACTTTGTCCCCTTGTGCGTACGCATTACAATTCAGTTTTTCGTTATGCAGTTACATGCCGTTTCTCAATCATCATCATGAAATTTTGCAGTTTTTTCTACAGTCTTGTAAAGTACCTTACACAATATATATATATACACACACACACACACACACACACCCTTCATTGCTTACTTTTGATATATAAAGTAGTAAACTACACTGTACATTTGTATATCTGTTTGTAGGGAAAAAAACTTATGCAACATTGTATTATTTGAGAAACAGTATAAAACCCTACAAAGACTGTAGACACACTAAGAGGCATGCAAACTTAACAGGTTTTTGGATGTAATATATATTAGATATAGCTATATGGTCAAGTCACCTACTACTGAAATGCAGCCACACTGGTCAAAGAATGAGACAGCGTTTAACAGCTACAGCAATACTATTGCTCTGTTTAGATAAGGAACTGAAGACTATCATATCCAAATGAAAGTATAGAGGGAATTTAGAATTGAGACTATAATTATCCAGGTTGGATGTTATTATCCCCAATGTCCTGACCAAATTCCATTTTCTTGGGAAAAGGGCCACAATGACTACTGTACTCAGGATCTTGATTTTAAATCTCATAAAAAACAGTACTTCCAAAAGTACAGTGCACACATCCCTCTGATACTATTGTGGGGCATCTGTTCAGCACTCATTCTGTATCACCAGCACAACTTTCTGGGTACTCTGGTTGTTTTTTGGCTAGACCCCCCAAGAAAACACAACTCATCTCACCACTTTCTATTTCAAATGCAGGAAATAATTCTTTGACCATGCCTTTGCTCATATAAACCCATAGTACATCATACATACCAAATCCACCCCCACCCACTAACTTCAACAATATTCCATATACAATTCCTATCCCTATCCCCCCCAAGCAGGAAAAGAGAAAAAGAAGGAAAGAACCACAGGACAGATGCTATTCAGATCACTTACTGCACTTTGGGATAGTGCTCAGATATCATGGCGCTAATGCACTATAAAAACTTGAATAGAATAGATCCAACACTATGTAGTTCACAAGATTACAACCCAAGATGGTATAGTTACAATCATCTCCCCCCCCCCCCCAACAACAACAACAAAAAAGCATTCTCATCAAAGGTTTTACCTGAAAACTTGAGTACTTTTTATTATTCCTTGAAAACTGTTTTATGGCAACCCACCATTAAGTGTACAATGAAAGTATTCAAAATGCTCAGATGGAAATGTGTTTCTCCACTTTTTAAAATTGCTAAATCAATTATGTTATCAGGTATTATGGGTCATCTTGAGAAATATGGATAGGGATAAATATTGTAATAATAGAAATTTAATTAGTTATTGAAGCAAGTTGGATATTTTTGTTAAATTATCCTCATTTTCCCTTACATATATTACTTCAAAAGAAAATGAATCATAATCATGCAGAAGAGGCAGTGCAATTTGTTTGTAGATTAAGGGAGGGATTTTTAAGAATACTCAGCACTGACTTAACTCTGCTCTGACTGAATCAATGGTAAAACTCCCACTGAACTCAGTGAGAGCAGAATTAGGTCAGAGTGCTTTTGAAAAATCCCACTGTAAATATTTTCTTTGAAAGTCTACATTCATGTGTGTGTATGTGTATATATATATATATATATATATATATAAATAAACACCACTGAAAGGCCTTCCCATTACACAGAAATTTGCAGTACAGATTTTTTACTTTTTATTACCTGAAACCATTTGAATTATAGGCATCATTGACACAATGTCTCCTGGCCCCTCCCCCAACCCTAATAACTCATAGCATTTCCTGTATCATTAAGGCTTAAGACAGAGAGTTTGTCATGAAAGACCTAAATTATGTGCAGTAACTTTAAGAGACTTTTCCCATACAAATTGTTATGCACTTGATCTAAAGTTGTCACCTCTATATACTGTGAAAGAGAAGAAGCCAATGACTAAGTCAACATAGTATATGTATATGTTCTTACACAGTCTGAAGGACACAAAGCATCGATACTAGTATCAGCTTTGAAATAATCATGTCTCATACATCCCGTTAAAATACAGTTAGCAAACTAGGGTGTCAGTCAAAGGAAAAGGTAAATATGAATTATACCATTTTGACCAGGAATGGCCAGTGATTTGGGATGCAATTGTGGCCACCTAGCAATATGAAAGGAGAAATCTGCCACTTTGGAACACTATGGACAGTAGGCAGGAGGCCTGTTTATACCTGCTCCCATGCTTGCAGGGACAGATTACAGAGCACATTAGAGAGGCAAGGATGAGAAGCCATGTCTGAAAACAACCAAACTGAAGTAGATGTAAAACTAATCATCACAAAATACTGAAAGGAAATTAGATTTTAAAAATACTATTTTATAATATAAGGTGACTTTGGTAACAAAGATTTGCTTACAAAACAAAAATCCTCTTATCCTTAGCAACTTTTTGCCATTTATTTATTTAGATTTATACTGTCAATCAAAAGGAGCATCAAAGCAACTCCTTTTAAAAACATACACTACATACAAGGAATAAAAAGACTCATTTTATCCCGGAACACAAATAGCAAAGATATGTTCCTCCCACTAGCCAGCATCACAAAACTCACTACTCCTCGCCACAGAGGGAGAGAGGATGGGCCTTGGGGCACACAATGAAGGTTAGCAAACTCAAGCCATTACATACCATGGAGAGGAGTGTTCCAAAAAGGTCTGAGGGCCTAACAGAGCGCTCTCCCTCTTTTATACCAATTGGACTCCAACTTACTAGGTACCTCTGCTGACCACACCTACAGCAGTATAGAAACAGAGAGGGGTGGTCTCTTTGTAATGGGGCATGATAGTCCCAGGCCACTCAGGGCTTTTCAAGTTAAAACCAATACTTTTCAACCCAGAAACAAAAAGTAATTAGTGAAGATAAAAGAGTATAATGTATTCACAAAAGGAAACAATACTTAAGAAATGGTTGCCAAATATTGTACCAGCCCTATTTAAAGTACATTGCAGTACTCCAGTCCTAAGGTGACAAAAAGCATGGATAATAGTGGCAAGATCCACATCCAAAAGAAACAGTCATAAGCCCATCTGTAAATAGATTAAAATAAATAACTACCTGGCTATTGCTGCTGTTTGATCTTCTAGTAGCAGCTGCAAGTATAACCCCAAGTCAAACCACGGCAGTCACAAAGCCTTGGTCTGAGGGGGAAGACTATTATTAAAATCACACCATGCAAAATAGTATTTTTAAAATTACCATGAAAACTTTTAAGAGCTAAGTACATTTTTAGAAAATTCTCATATTAAAAAGGGAAAGCATTGCATGCATTTTCCCTCATTTTAAAAATTGCAGTTGTGCTTACAATTTTGTGATTTATAATTGTGTGGAAAGTTCAACAAGAAATGCACAATGGATAATAATTCATTAAAAGGGTAGTTTTGTCTTTTAAAATTAGTTATTTTGTCTGCTTGCCCATAGTTGCCACTGTACTTTGACACATAAGTCAAGACATTGGATTGATATTTAACCTTATTGATGCAGCACTGATACTAAGATGCTCTACCTCTGTACTTAGCTTCACAGTGAAACTGACTAGAACAGGTTGTGTGATTTGAGTCATTTTGACTACAGCTCCTCCCATTCTTGGCTCTCTCTTCAGCATTCATGCATGTTTTAATATCCCCTATCCTTCAAAAATGACCCTTGACTTCAGTAAGGACTGTCCTATCTCCCATCAGTAGGCTTCTTGAATCATGTGTACAACTGTTGCTTCTACTTCTCTACTGGATTCTCTTTCTAATTAGCTTTCATTCTTTATGCGTCACCACGGCCTCCAATGACTCACCATAGCCACATTTCAGGACCTTTTCTCTAACCTCCTTGATCTTTTCACCTTCTTTAACAGGTTGTCTCATTCCCTCATCAACTCTGTTCCTTCCTGGTTCTTTTCTTCCCTCCAACCAACCCTTCACTGTATTTCACTCCTCTTCCTTCCATCTTCATCAATGTTTCTCAAGACTATATGTTTGGTCTCTTTCTTTTTTCCTTGTAATCTAATAGCAGAACTTCTATTATCACCATTTTAGACTGTTTCCGAAAATCTACCTCTTAATTATCACCTACTGTATTTCTGACAC